ACTATAGGAGCGAAAACCCATGGTTTCAGCTGGCGATAATACCCCATTTAAGCCGCACACGGGGGGTTGGTGCCCGGTTTGGTCGCGGAGAGGTTGCGGAGAGTCCTCGAGCAACAAGCCGTGCCCCGATTCGGGCAGCATGCAGCAGGAGACGCCAGCGGGCGAGAAGAGATCACGGACCTCGTGAGACTTCGTCTGAATGGGGGAACAACCCCATTCCCGAAGACGTGCCATTGCTGCTCATGTCTGGACAATCTAAGGAAACTTCGAAGCAGGACTCGCTGTTCAAGGACATGCGGCCTAAACCGAAAACACTACGCAAAAAAAGAGACGCCGATTCAGCTCTTGTCTAAAGTAGTGCTAGGCAGTAAAACTGCGTTGGCGCAGAGTTTAGCTCCGATCCCATGGTTACACTCTGTCCAATCCTCGAGGAGTGAGACCTCGACAAACAGCGGTTTCAAGGAGCGGAACGGGGCCCGCGCTGCGTGCTCGGCCTCGCTGAAAGGCACGGTGCAGTCGCCTGAGCAGTCGTCGAAAAGGAGGAAGCTACGCAAGATGCCCATATGACCGAGCTGAGACGCACACTGTCACCCCAGATGAACAAGGTCGGAACACTTCCCCTCGCCAGCCTCGCATACGAGTCCTGGCTCGACTTCGAGTCTGTCTTGGGAGCTCCAGGAACAGGAAACCCTTACACCCATTTGCCTGGAAGTCTTGAGACCACAGGGGCATCCTCCGCAGCACGCGGAGATAAGAGTTCACCTGGCAGCCCCTAAAAGCTCGCCACTGCAACCCGTGCAAAAAAAAACGGGATCCATGCCAAGGGGCAGAACGGCGAAGATCCCAAAGGAACCTTTCTCCTGAGGCTCTCTGCGAGAGTCGGCAACGAGGGTTCAAGAGGCTAAGGCGGCTAAGGCTCGGGCCGTTTTGTCTTGCAACGCTCTTGAACTTCTCCGGCTCCCGAACATCCAGCTGGCAGAGGCGTGAGCTCAAGGGATGCGGAGTTCATGGTGCAACTTGTCTGAGAGTTCATGGTGCTCGATCTGCTGCTGTTGTGGCTCCCTGCTTTTCGCGACATTGGCGCTTTCAGTGAACTACTCGACTCCGCCGCGGCCTCGAAGCGATCGGCCAGCTTGTCGCCAGCAAGTGCCCGGCGAGCACAGCCTCTCAGCTCGGGTGGGATCCGACTTCTGGGCCCCTTGGCCCCTACAGGCTATGCTGAGCGCCAGGCAGCTGCAACAACAAGCGAGCGAGGTGGCGGCTGCCAGGAGGACGCCTTCAACGTTGCGGGGGGTGTCGCTTCGTAGCCAGCGCTTTTCAGACATGGTCGTGCCGCCTCCAAGCCGGGTTCGCAAGCATCCTGAGCTCTAAAGAACCACTCCGCTGCACTCCACCGGCCCTCATCTCCGGTGCTCAGGTCTCTGCCGAAGAGAAGTGGCTGACAGGGGGTCTTCGACCTTGGCACGGTCAAGGCTCCCGGACTCAGGGCTCTCGGCAGGGCAGCTGCCTCTGCAAAAGGCCACCGGGAGCAACCAGCAGCAACTTCGCCACCCTGGCACCGGTGAAGCTTCTACCCAGCTGCTGCTCATGGCCACTACAGGACCGCTGTAGCGCCGCGATGTCTGGAAGGCTTGATCTGCTACTCGAGCCTTTCCGGGTAGCGAAGCGCGAACTCCACGGCAATCACTCCACCTCTCCAACCAGGCTCAGCCAAGGTTCAGGCCCAAAACAAACCAATGCCGCGGGCTTTTCTTGCCGCCAAGGTGCCCATGCTAAATCCGAAGAGAAGCACCTCCGGGCAGAGTGGAAAAGCTTTCAGCTCCCCTATACCGGCTCGGTCAATTCTGCAGATGGCGTCTCGTTTACTGTGGCCGTGCGCAAACTTGTTCTTTTCTTGCACTGTTAACTCGACCTTCCTTTCAGATTCAGAATTTACGCCAGCGTAGATTCCCAAGAAGTGGAAGAACTCCACGACGACCGCGACGACCATGACGATCAGAGAGACCACTAGGACATCACCAGGAAGCGCTGAGACGGGCAAGAAACCGCCACCGGGAGACCGCAGGAGATTCGGGACCACGGCCACGGAGGATTAGGAGACCGATTCTGTTTACACTCAACACAATGTACCACACTGCTTACGGAGATAAGAACGAAGCAAACGGAAACAAAAAAAGAAAGACGGGTTTGAAACAGACAGTGTCCCGAGCTTGCCGACCACACCGACAAGAACTCACGGCATGTACCATGAGTGCCCAGGCCCAGAAAGCGCACCTTCTCTGTAGGCGGCACTTTCACCGCCTGCAGCAAGGACGACACCTCGGGCTCGGCACGAAACTCTCTCGTCTCGCCCGCTGACGGGCCCGGCCTGGTTCACGTAGGTTCCCAAGTCGAGGCGCCCTCTCGCCGCGCTCAACCCAAAGCCATACCTCAAGCCCATCAGAGGATCCGATTTTGCACCTCCCTAAACCTTAAACCCTAAACCTGCCTGACTCTCTGAGGCTCTCTCCCACTTTCCGACGCTTCCCAGGGCCACGGCAGGTCGAAGCAAAGGACTCGAAAGCCGCTCTCTGCCAGACGCGGCCTGGGAAGAAGGACCGTCCACGTGTTTTTTTTTCTGGCATGTCTGTGGATTTCGCTCTCCATCCGAAGCTTTCGAGATTTCGCTCTAGCTGATCTCTGTGGATCGTAGCAATACACATACTTACACATCAATGCATGTCTCGCATCATCATATTTCTTTGTCGTGGATCATGCCTGTGACTACATATCCACATGTGTAAAAACGTGACTCGAGAGATAGCAAAGAAATGTGCGTCGAATGTGCGTGGACATGCATCCATGCATGTCCGGCATATGCAGCTGCGCACACATTGCATCTGTCTACAAGCGGAAACCTATAACAAAATAGAAATACGTATTACACACACATATAAACATGTACACATATACGTACACATACACATACATGCAGGCATACAGACATACCTACTTACATGCATACATGCATGCATACACACGAATACATGGGCTCGCCCTTTCTTTCTTTCGCTGACTCGCTCGAGTATTCTTTCATGCATCCATTGAGGCGTCCGTTCAGGTGCATGTATACATTACACAGGCAGCCATGTGATGCGCATACCGATATAGTCTATGCACACAGCAGCAACCAGCTCTTCGGCTTCCGCTTCTTGAGGACCCTTGCAAAGGAAAACACAATATCGCAGCTGCAGTCGGCATGCACCATGTAACGAGAGAGATCTGATCTCGACGTGTCCATCGTTAGATCTCAAGATGTCTCAGGCTTCGACGCAACGCTCTCGAAGCTGGAGATGCAGCCGTTCAAGCCGTGTATGCAAACGATCAGCGGCGCTGGGATTGGTGGCCTCTGAAATTCAATAAGAACAAGCCTACAGTTTGCTTCTCTCACTCCTGTGCATCCAGCTGATTCCCATGTTTGCTGCTCTTCTGCCTCCTCCTCGCCCACCGCTAAGAAGGCACTACCCCGACTGCAACGGCTACTACGACCGCGAATATCTACATCCAACTACTAAGTCTACTACGCATACAAAACTGCCACGACGACCAATACGACGACGACTGCGACAGCAACAGCAACAACAACAAGAACAACAGCCACAGCCACAGTCACAACCCCGTAGGGCAGGGCCATCTGTCCTCCTCCGGAGCCGTGCTGGGAAGAGATCAGCGTCCGGAGAATCCAGAATTTAGGGGGGCCAACAGCCACAGCTGCAGCCAGCCACAGCCATAGCCACAACCACAACCAACCACAACCACCACGACCACCGACCACAACCACAAGCACAACCATAACCACAAGAATCACAACCACTACCACTACTCTTAGCGCTTACCGCTTACCACTACAGTACGACTACGACGACGACGACTCCTACTCCTGCTCCTAGTCCTAGTCCTACTCCTAGTCATAGTCCAACTACAAGCGCAAGAACAACTACAACTAATACTGCTCCTCCTCCTCCTCCTCCTGCATGCTGCTGCGATCACGTAAACTGGCATGGCGCACCCCATCAGCAAGTAGTTGACCTCGCCGCAAGCCAAGCGCACGCCTCAGTCAGTGGAATCCATGGGGCCTTGACAAAGCGGTGCAGGCGCCACTTTCCGGGAGTCGAACATTGACCCCGGACGAAGCGGCCAGAGGCTCGAGGAGGCTTTCGCGCGGCCGGTGTAGCTGCCGGAGTGCCGGGGTTGGAGTTTGGATCTGGCTGCGGCTGGGACAGGTGCCCTGGCCCGAGCGTCCTTGAAAACAGGAAGTTTCAAAGATTGATCCATGCTTAAGCTCATCATTTTGCTAAGCCAGGCACGGGCCAAACGCTGGCATCTAGCCAGCCGTGCATGTGGCTCTGCAAAACTAGTGAGCTCCAGAAAAAGTATACGTTCAATAACTTTGCTTTACACGAGAACGAGGCACCAGTACTTGGGTTAGTGGAAGTGGTGGCGATGACGCTTCTTGCGCTAAACAGAAAGCACAAAAGCACGAGTTTGATTCCGTGAGACTTGCATTGTATGAGCCCAGAAGCTGACCGGGACCTGAAGCAGTTCTCCACAAATATTTTCTAGCCTACTTTCCCGCAACTTTCCCAAGACTTCTGAACCGCATAGTTTACAGGGTCAGGCACCATTGGACCATTCGCCTGTCGACATCTGACTGATGCAACGGCCGCAAGTGTGCCCGAGCAAGTGCTTCAACTACAGAGTCGCAAGGAGGTGTTAATCACATACAAGTTCGGGAAATTGTTTGTCGAACAATAGCATCTACAATAGCAGGTCATGGCCTCGTAGAATTTATTGCTGGATCTCGTTCGAACATTTTGACTAATCACGTAATCAGTCTCGATGTCGATCATGGAATCCATTCAACAAAACCTGCAATATTCTCAGCGACTCACAGTGTTCAAGTACCTGACGCGATGAACCACATTTCTGCGGATCCGACAGAGATGCTCAGCAACTTCCCGTGCAGGAGAGCCATTTTGCGAGTTCTCCCGCAAGGCGTGTCAAGCCAAGCACACATGGATCGCCACTAGGCAGCGTATCCGCAATGCTTGGGATGTTCCGGAACTGCGAATGCCCACCCAGAACTCTGGCGCGCCACGCCCGAAGGCACAGATCCAGCGCTGATCTCGGGTGGCAGAGCCTTGAAACGTCTCCGTCGCTTCAAGGGTGCCCGCCATTCTCCGTCTCAGCACCCCAGCTGTAGCGGTTCAGCCCTGGGTTTCAGCCGCAGGGCCCTCGATCCCCGCGCCATTGAACATCGTCAGAACTGGCGCTGCGTTGGAGCTGATCCCCTGGAGTGCCTGCGAGCGCAAGACTTCCATCAAAGTAAGCTTCTCCTAAGCCAGCTGAGAAAAACATCTGGTACTGTGAAAAGACAGTCTCCGTTCTCTTGTCTATGGAAGGAGCAGTTCGCAAGCCCTCAACCTAAACCACCCTAAAGCCTTTTATCTGTAGCAACTGCAAGAACTTGTTCGCTTAGGCCCCGGCACAGGAGCGGACACGTTCGCGAACAAGACGCTCCTGTCGGCGAACACCCATGGAGAGAGCAACCGAATGAGCCGGCACCCTGGCACATCGGAAATACTTGGCCTTCCGGTTCTACTCTTCACAAAAAACAAACAAGACACAACTCACGATCGCAAACTTCGGACAAGCATCAAGAGACTCAAGTACTGAACAGTATGGAACATCGAAAAGATTGAATCCCCGACTCCTGTTGTCGCCGGATCTTCTTCTGTAAGAACTCGATGTAGGCAGGCTTTTGCTCTTGTGTCATGTTTCGCTTCTCTTCCGCCGTCAATGCCATTGCGAAAAATGACTTAGGATCCCCTCAAACCTGCGGCTGGAAGCAGATGCTGCGAGGGTGGGACTCGCGCTCGCCAACATGCACCCTACCTCCGCCTCCGCACAGGAGCCAAGAGCAACACCCAAACGACTGTCTTTTTTCTCCCACGTGTTGCCGGGCGGCGTACCTTCTTGGAGGCCGAAGATGTTTGGCATGTGAAGCGGGCCAGACCATGCAGCGATACTCAGCACTAGCACACCAGCTTGATGAGGGACATTCTGAATTGATGCAACTTCCCGGAACCACTTCCGAAACACATGGCCCGCGCTTCAGGCAAGAAGCACTATGGAAGCACCGACTCAGTTGGTGAGTCTGGACGCAGACACCTCAGTAATTCCATGCTTGTGCCAGCGAGGCAATGCTAAGGCCTTCACTTGGCATGCATCAAACCACGAAAAGAGCCACCCCGAACCTCAACAGATTCGCGAAGTGTCCAAGTCGTCAAAACCCCTAGTAGCCCGCGAAAGTGGGGCACCTTGCGCCGCCGCGTCCAAATCCTCTAAGTCTTCGACGACGACGTCATCCTGACGTTGGGGGAGGGATGGGAGGGGCTGGAGCAAGGGACCGAGCTCAAACTCCAAAGACAAATGTGCCTGTGGAGGTGCCTGAGTCAAGTTGACTGGCGATACCTGGCTGCACCGGCTAGCGTAAACCCAAGCACACTGTGATCTGTCTGATTGCTGCGCTGGGCAGCCCGCAACGGAGACAACGGGCAAGCCTGCAGCAAGAAACTGCATCAAGAAGAAGACCCTTGACGCAACTGGAATTCTCGCCGTCTCCAGCTTTGGGGACTTTGGGGCAGGTCCTCCCAGGCCTAGAAGGGCTTGATGCCTGGTGGGGAGTCATCAAGGTCGACGTCAACCAACTGCCAAAGCACGCGCAAGCATTATGCAACCTCCACTGCTATATGCAAAGATGCAAGCCTGGTCAGTCGCAGGCGTGGCACCAGGGAGCACGGTCTCTCTCACGCAGCTTTCTTAAGCTCAACAATCTTTTCTGGAAATCCGCCGAACCAAAGACTGTCCGCTGCGTTGCTCAACATTCGAAGGACCTATATTATGATAAGCGGAGCTAACCGAGCCAAGTGCAATGTTGGTCCACGGTTTATGGTTCTGCACGGCTCTCCGGACTTTACAGGGTTTGAGGGCACACGGGGGTGTCAGGTCATCTTGAGTTCAAGCTTTATGCATATAGATATAATTTTCAATGTAGTAGGCCATGCCGTGAGTTAACCAGTGAAGCCTAGGGTCTGCAAACCGCTGGGACTCCAACTCAGAAGACCAGTGTTTCTGAGCCGACCATGCTGACAACTCTTCAGGAAGAGCTTACCAAACTTGTCCTGAAATGGTATCAACCCCAGCCTGCGAGGCCGTGGTGCTGCGGCGTGGACAAGCAGCGCTCCAGCTTCTGGGCACTGCCAGTTCCATCCGCAGACATGTTCTTGGTTCATCACGTCAGGTACTTGAACGCTGAGTCGCTGAGAACATTGCAGCTTTTCGTGAATGCATTCCATGACCAACATCGACTGTACTTTCGGATTGTGACCCATATCCATACCCAAAGCCTCGGAGATCAGGCCCTTTCCGGTCCAAGGATCCCTCGCCAGTCCTGCCGGCGAATTCTGGGAGGTTTAAAAATGCTGAAAAGCTGCAAAAAACACTGGATGCCTGTACAGCATCTGGGGAAGTGGCAGAAGTGACGGCAACAGAAGACAGAGAAAGGCATCAGCAAGACGGCCTCTCCAACAGACTGAGCATACTGGAAGGTCGATCCCAAACTCTGAGCAGATCCCGAAAGCAGCTGAAGCTCATGACAACTTAACACAACCGACAGATCTGTTGGCCGATGGAGTAGCCCCCGATGTTCCAGCAAGCTTCGGTGAGCTATAAAGTCGGCTCTCACAGATCACACAGTACCGATGCAAAGAGCAGTTCCATTTCTCCAGTCGCTGTTCGAAATCTCACGGCTGCACTGAAATTAAACAACTGGAGCAGGCAGGCCTCCCTCATGATTCTAGGCTACAGGGTCTCCGCAGCTGCCTGCAGGAAAGACACACTTGGGCATGGGTTGTACGGTCCTCCCTACACTCCAACTTGGAAAGCCACGAAAAGCTCAAAACACCTTAGGTACGCTGATTGTGGAGTTGAGCAAGATTCAGCTCTACCTGCCAAGCTTCACCCTTTTACCAGTGCGGAGAAGAGTGAACCTGAGTTGTTAACTCTATTAACTTTATATGTCGCAACTATTTTTGCCAAGAAAACACTACCCAAATGCCGATTTTAATATGAGCATAAACCTTTTCCAGTCCCTTGGTCTCATGCTGGCAGGGAGTTGTTTCGGGTCACGTTATACTCTTGACTCTTGACCCAAGTGAGGGTGGCAGATGTCACCGCAGCGATCTTGGCAAGTCTCAGACTTGCAAGCGGTTTTGGTGGGTTACTAAATACCTGTAGGGTGAGAAGGGATCGTACCAAGTTCGGTGTTCCAGTGTTCCAGATAGACCCTTCCGAACGTTGTAAAAGTCGGCTGGTTCGCCTTACAACATCGCAACAGCCTGAAGACAGTCTGTATCATCTCTTCCCCCCCTTGCTGACGTAGGCAGCGCTGTGGACGTCAACTGGGCTCGGTCGGGAAGGCCAGCTGAAAACGGCCAGTATTGGTAGTTGGAAATCCGGCTTCCCCACACGAGGTCATGCAGGTTTCAACCTCTGCAGAAAGAACTCGCAGCGTCTTGGACACTCGAGCGAATGAACAGAGAGCCTGGGATCACACTGACATGCTGCAAGGCATAAGATTGCTCAGCTGACTAATTGACTCTCTCTCTCTCTCTCTGGCTCTCGGCATGCGTGTGTAATGGGGCATGTTTCTGCAACTCTGCAGCATCAATGGTGGACACTCCCTATTCGGAGTGGCCGCAGGCCGACTGGCAAGATCACACTGACATGCTGCAAAGCATCAGATTGCCCAGCTGACTAATAGACTCTCTCTCTCTCTCTCTCTCTCTGGCTCTCGGCATGCGTGTGCAATTGGGGCATGTTTCTGCAACTCTGCAGCATCAATGGTGGACACTCCCTATTCGGAGTGGCCGCAGGCCGACTGGCAACTCGCAGCGTCTTGGACACGCGAGCGAATGAACAGAGAGCCTGGGATCACACTGACATGCTGCAAGGCATCAGATTGCCCAGCTGACTAATTGACTCTCTCTCTCTCTCAGGCTCTCGGCATGCGTGTGTAATGGGGCATGATAATCAATGGTGGACACTCCCTATTCGGAGTGGCCGCAGGCCGACTGGCAACCAGGTGGGTCCGCATCTCCTGCCACTCGCGAGAAAGGCTAAATGCAAATTTACAGGGCTGTCACCAATCAGAGATCTCCACTCCCACCGACTGCGTCCTCAATGGCGGGGAGGCCCTCCATGGTAGGGACCTCCACTGTCGCGGGCAGGATTTTGTCTTTCAGGTGTCTTGCATCCTCCACC